AAAAAAAAAAAAAAAAAAAAATGCTCTCCCTCCAGTCACATAACCGCTGGTCAGGAGCACAAATGCTGGAGCTGAGTCACATAGCTTTAGGTGTTAGCTCTAGGTGTGTGACTGGGGCAAGTTTTAGACTTTCTATGCCTCCATTTCCAATTTTTACAATGGGAGAAGGGATGTTAGTATTTTGCAACATTTTGGGGAGGTTTAAACAAGGTAATAACTGTTAAGTGCCTTGACTCTAATATGATTTTATCAATTCTGAGATGCAGGTTTTTCAGATTTCAACATTTGTGAAATGAGAATGTGTCTGTAATTAATGTTAATGTAATTTTTTTCTGATGCTAAGGATTGAACCCAGGGCTTCATACATGCTAATCACTGCTCTACTACCAAGCTGCGCCCAGCCCCGGTGTTATTTTTAATAATAATAATTTCATCATCATTTAATGGGCGATATATTTTTTAAATCAGTGGTATTTAAAATAATGGTGCTCCTTGGAGTTGATGTTTTAGATTTCAGTAACTAATCATAATTAAATGGTGAGTTAATGACAGCTGACGTCAGCATTGTGCTCAGTGCGATCCCTTATTGCTCTCTGTTCCAATTTATGCGGCGTTTGATTGTTCTCAGTGGTAGAGTACATATCAAATCTCAGTCCCACCTCCTGGCTTTCCCTGGTGCGTTCTTAGAAACAGTCCGGTGAGCTGCTTTCCATAATGTAGTTGTTTCATTTCAGCTAATGTAAACTGCGGGTCAGTTTGTGCAAAGTTTATATTATTCATTGTACCATTCTTGGAGAGCTACTATAATGTTCTTCCACATTCAATCTCTTGAAATAAATGAGAAGAAAAATTCTTTATTTTTCCAAATCCATTCAAAGAAGGGCTTCGTTTTCTTAGGTAGCAGAACTAAGCCAGCATTGTACCAATTAAGATTTACTGTTTTGCACTTTGCTCCAAGAGAGAGAAGAGGCAATTTATTGATCTGAAACAAAGTAAAGGACTGTGGCCAGACCTTTTCTGGTTTATACAATGCACCGACATAAGAATCTGCATATCATTAAGACGAACAAGTCCCCACAATCTGAGGCCACCTGTCTGTCGGGCATGAACAGCAACTGGGAGAAATCCATTCACAATACACAACTGTTCTCTTCACACAGAGACTGCCAGCGTTCTGACCCAGCGACAGTGTCTTCTTATTTTACAGTGCTGTGCTTGCAGTGCCTAATTTTAGGCTTCCTCCTCCTTTTGATTTTATTGTTCAGTTCTGGGGAGGATAGGACAGACTAATTTGGATCTGAGATAAATATCTTCTGCCTGGTGAAGGAGATTCGATAACAGGAGAGAAACTTGGGCCAAAATTTATGATGCTTGCCTAGGAAGATTCTGGGCACATCTCCATCCAGAAGCCTTGACATGTACCTCATTCACCCATAACGCCTGCAGCTTGTCTGTTCTTGCCTTCTGTATGCCTCCAGAGCTTGAATGGTAGAATTTATAAGCCCCTCTGAAGCAAGAGCACGAACACACAAGGCTCGCAAGGGGCCGGTAAACAGGGTTTGGGCTTGGGTCATTGTTGTTGTTGGCGTCTAGCAGTGTAATTAGTTGAATAATATAAAATCTGGGCTTCATTCCTTCACCTTTCGTTTCCTCCTGTCTAGCCTTCCCAGGTCTCCACAGTGTTGTTTGTAAAACTGCACTTGTCAAACACTGATAGACATTCACTCCTATTCTCAAAAGATGATTCTTGTTCTGTTCCTGCCTTTTAATTCTGTGAGCTTGGCCTGTACACAAAGGTTATTTTGCTCCTCAAGTTCAAGGCCCTGAACCTGAGCCAGTGCCCCTGATCCCTGGAGATGTTAGATGATTGCTCTTTAGTCAGAGATCAGAGCCGTGCTGTCCTGGTGAACTGCCAGCCAGAGCCAGGACCAGCCAGTTTGGGGCCTGATCTCAGGGAGTGTGTGAGCCCTGCCCCGTTGCGGGCTGCTGCGACTGGAAAAGCCTGTAGGAGAGCATGCTGGTCAGAAACAGCCTGTGAGGTTTTCACTGAGCTGCTTCCATGGTAGTTACCATTGGATTGTACAAACTGATCTCAACAAATCAAAGCCTCCAGCCCTTCCCTACCCCTTTCCTTTTCATTTACCAGTGTTCCTGACCTCTGATCTCCAGTACTGGAGACTGCTGTTTCCTTTTGCGCAGCATTTTAAAATACTTTTCCTTTCTCTAATGATTTTCAAAGCAGATAAAATCAAAATCAACAATGTGAATAGAGATGTTTCTTTTTAACGATTTTTATTAGAAAAGTAATAAAAGAGTGGAACTCATCCATCACTGCTTCACCCAGGGCTACCTGTTGTAATTAAAAGCTTAAATATACACATACATATTTTTAACTAAATTTGGCTTATGATTTAATTGATAGTTTCTTTTTTCAAAGTCAGTGATACTTAAAATAATGGTACACTTTAAAGTAGATGACATTTTAGATTTTAATGGCAGTAAGATGGATTGTTACCTGCTGGCAGCCTCGTCATCAGTTTTTAGTTTTTCTTAGTTTTTCTTTATCAGCACACTTTTGAATATTTTACCAGGTTATATAAAAGTCTTACATGATTTCAATGACCACATTAGAATCCAGTATATGTTGTGTCATTAATTTAGCATTCTCATGCTATTGAGGTGTCTTGTAGGCTTCTCAATTAAAGCTTTTAATATTTCAGCTTGAGATTTACTTCACTTTCTTCTAGTTTGATGGGTCTGGAGTTAACAGTGTAGGCACGGTAGAAATGGAACATTTTTATGTGTGCTGTTGTTTTCTTTGTCAGCATTTTCCCAAAGGCATTTTCAAACAGTAAATGTTAGAGCAGTATTTTTTTTTCTAGCTTACATTTCATTTGTTTTGAATTTTGTGATAACATGTCTCATTATAGTAACCTCAGGTAACTTCAAAATAGAAAATGAATATAAAAATAAGAATTTTGTGGCCAAAATGGTATATGTTTGTCATGTAATTTGAAGTTTCTCCAACAAGACAATGGAAGATACTGAAGTTTGCTTATATTTTAAGAGGAGTCTGACTGCCTCATACATGTATTTTAGAAAGGTGTTGGCGTAGAGGAAAGATGGGTTTGTGGGAGAGACTTGATATCATGGAAGAATTTGCTTGGAGTTGATTTTTTTAAAAATGTGAACATTCGGTGCAAGAACTGCTTTGAAATTACAGTTGAATAAATGCTGTTGAATCAACATTTGGAAAGGATGATAAACTTGAAAACTAAATTAGTTTGGGGATGCTACAGAATGACACATTTGAAAGGCGCCTTCCTAAGGCAGTCAAGCCCTGCGTTGTCTGTGGGAGCCATCTGTTGGGAGACCGACCTCTCAGCCCAGGTAGCCCCTCCCTGGATCTGTGCTGTGTCTTTACACTCAGTGGCCAGGTCTAGTGCAGCCCCTCCTGGGGTCCTCAGTCTGTTGCACGCTATTCCAGTTTGCTTTCTTTGTTAGCCCTCATCTTTGTAAACACAACTCTTAAGATTTAGTGTTGGATGTATTTTTAAATGATCCTTGTTGATGGCACACTGTTTATTGTTTCAGGTTGGATGTGTTTGGGAGCTTGATGTGTAAAATTTGCATGACTCCTCCTTCCTTTCTGGGGCTTTCCTTGGATTCAAGCCAGCATGGCCCACACCACGAAGGTTAATGGCTGTGCCTCAGGTAAGTGGGGTGGGGGGGAGTATGTCTTTGCTGAAACTGATTTTTTAAATTTCCTTTTCAATGGCTGGGTAATAGCAAGTTGCCTTGATAAGTAGGATTTCAAAGGAGTTTTCCATCAATTGAAATTTTGTTATTTTTTCTTGTTCTATTAGAAAAAATTACTTTAAAGTCTTTATGTACTGAAATTAGATAAATTACTAACTGAATTCTCTTGAAATGTTGAAATGGAAATTGAAAATTCTGAAAGCTTATACAAGTATAGTAAACGCTTGTGCTTCTTCTCTGAGGGATGGAATGAGGGGAGAGGAAGTGGTTTTGGATGCCAAAAACCAATTCCTGGTAGCATTTATTGATTATTTATTTATTTATTTATCAATTACTCGGTACCAGAGTTCGAACTCTGGACCTTGTGCTTGCAAGGCAAATGCAGTGCCACTGAGCTACAATCCCCAACCCTAGTAGTTTTTATTTGGTGATGCTAACCAAAGAGAAAGAAGGGAAGAGATGGGTTTATTCTGTAAAGTGATACCCAGAGAGAAATATGCAGTAACCCCTATTTTGAGTCATAACAACCTGTATTCTAATTCTTGCTTTGGTTATAATAGAGACCTGCATATTTTAAATAACTTATATTGCTTATGTAAGATTTGAGAGCAATGTGTGGAACAGACAGAGAAAACATCCTAAGAGATAGGACAAGACTGGGGATGACACCCTGTCCGAAACAGCATGCCCAGTGCCTAGAGTTGTCACATACATGCGTGAATGGGAACAGCAATATCTACTTGAGAGTTCTTTCCCAGAGCCAGGATGCAGGTCCTAGCGCTGCTGGCACACTTGAACATCAAGTGTATGTTGGTGTGAGGTGGAATTGGAGCCAGGAGACTCACATCAAGTTCTAGTTTTGATATAGGAGACTAAATATGAAAATATTCTCTTTCCCAGCCTGTTAGATCCCTGATACGCTGAGTTCGTGTTCTCTAAAATCTAAAAATGAATTCTAGGAATAACAGAGGATAAGCATAGGAAAATGTTTATTGAGAGGATAGCTCTTGAGAAGCAGGAAGGGACCCAAGTGGGTAGCCAGAGATCCCGCTTTGTAGGGAAGGTTTAGAGAGCAAAACCCACGTGGGTACAATGTGGGCTGTAGCTATGATCAACGAAATAAGGTTATGAGTACAGTCGCTTAGGTTATCGTAATCTAGTGGGGAATCACGTCACGTAACAAGGGTGCATGGAAAGAACAAATGCTTTCTTTTTTAGGAAATGACGGCTCCAGAGGTCTTGGTCACCCACTGGGGTAACTGATAGCTATCGAGGCTCCATTAAGCGTGCTGTTTGTCTTTTTAGGAAGCTTGCAGGCCTGGTAGTTTCCTCTATATCCTGAGGCCTGGTTTCTAACAGATGTGTCTCCAGCCACAGTTGTGATGTATTTCACCTTCATCCTGATTCTCGAAGGCCTAGCCTTACTGACAGCCTGTTACCTTTCTGTCCACTTTGGCTATCTATATTAGTTCCAGCACTGAGTGAGATATTGGGCGGGTACATTTCTCCACATGTAAGACGTTGGTAAGTATAGCACTGTGCGGGGATAGGATCAGTGAGAGGCCCGCAGTGTACTTACACGTGCTGCGGGAGGTCCAAAGCACTGTAAGGCAGTGGCAGAGAAAGAGACCCTGGAGTGGCACGCCTAGCCCATGTTCCTGACTTCCTGTTCAGCATTCCCAGTTGTCAGCAAGTACCCCTCTGGGAAGAGCATTGTGACTTGCCCAAACTCCAGTCCAGTGTTTACTCTGGGTCAACTCATCTTTTCCTGTGCTTTCTTTGGTTTATCCTTTCTACTACCCAACTTTTCGGGGACTTTTATAGATTGTGCTTAGGGATTGCTGTCAGTCATACGAATATGAATGACGCTATCTTAATACTCACTGAATTTGTACTATTTGCATGGTCCCTAAAATGATTTGTCAGCATTATTATACTTTGTCTTTGAAATAATCTATGAAATTATGTCATTGTAATTTTCATCCCTGTGGTGGCGCAGAGCAATGCAGTGACTTAATCTCAGGTCAGAAAATTCAGTTATTGCTTGCTTCACTAAGTAAAATTTGATAATAGGGGGAAACTGAACATCATGGTATTTCTTGAGCATAACGGCTGGGTTTTGATTCCCTTTGATGCCGTGGCTCTCTTCCTCTCTCCTCCACCTGCTTCTTTCTATTCATGCATTTGAGGGAGTTAGTGCCTCTGGACCTTGACCCTCTGGTGACTTGGCAAAATCCCATCTGCAGGGGCTTAGATACCTACTGCCCTAGACCCCATGCTTTTCCATCTTGTCCTACACTCCCATTTCTTTGTTCCTGAGTTCTGATGATCCAGCCCTAATTCTTCTTCCTCCTCTGCTGTCCTGCCTAGTAGGTCTTGGCATTGAGTTTGAAAGCAAAAGAAAACTCTCTGCTTTATGACTCCCGGGTACCCGAGCAGGAGCTCTTACTGCAGATCAGTGTCTGGACTAGACAAGGGAAGGCTTTTGCTCGTTCTAGTCACCGTAACCCCAGTAAGCTGTGTGTAAATCTGTTCAGAGGGTCAGTCATTCAGTTATTTCATATGTACATGTGTATAATGCTCCTTAGAGAAAATTTATAAATACAGAAACGTGGCATTATCTTTTTAAAAAGTCAAGAATTACTAGTAAGATTACCACCCCAATATAAATGATTTACTTATTTCTCAGATGGTTTTAAAATTTCATGTAACTCCATGGTTGAGAACATGCTTATAAAAAGCATTCTTTTAGTTTTTCTCTTCCTATTTTTGTATCACAAAACAAACAAACAAACAAACCCGTGCTTTAAAAAAATAACAGGAAAATGTATGTTGGTTATAAACACACTGTTTTTAAATGTAACTAAATTAGAAGCATTTGCAGGGCCCACCAAGATGACGAGATAAAGAAGACTATAGCAGCTAATGAGGGCCAGTTACTCATCTTTCCCATGAGAAAAAGATAAATGGTCTGGAAGTTTTAAATGTAAAGTAAATTACATGATTTTTTTTCATTTTTTAGGGATAAAGTATTATATATGCCTATACTTCCTATAGATGTGGTGGGCCTGAAAAGGGTTCCCTTAAATTCCCTCCAAAATCACTGCTTTGGAGTGCATAGAAATCTCAGGCAAAAGTGGAGTTAGACCAGTGGCAGAAGGAAGAGACACTTTTCATGGTCTTGGGAATAAAACAGAAGCCAAATAAAAGCAGACAAGAAAAGCACTGAACAGCAAAAACTCTAGCTTCTCTGACAAAGCACTGAAAAACAAAACTATAGCTTCTCTGACCTGTAAAATGCATGAGACCACTGATCCATCTCTCACTGCTGCCTTTGTTCAGGGTGTAAACTGGATAAGGAATGATTCACAAGTCCTTTTAAAATCTGACTTTCCCCTGCAGTCTTTTAGTTAGATTGGATAATGACACTGATTTTAAAGAGCTGTTAGTACTGTAGTTTGTAAAATTTATTATGATAGATTGCTGACATAAAAATGTGTAAATGGGCTGGGGCTTTAGCTCGGTGGTTCTGCCGCCTGCCTCCCAAGCGTAAGGACCCGAGTTTGATCTCCGGTACCAAAGAAAAGTGTAAATGTTGAATGACAAGTAGCTGCATATACACCACTTAACTTAAAAAGTAAACTAGTACATGTACTAGTGGGAGTGCGCAACAGATATTATTGAGCACCTACTCTGTGCCAAGCACTGCTTAGTACCAGGGAGATAGCAGTGAACAACACAGGCAAAAATTCCTGCCCTCAAGAACCGTGCATTCTACTGGAAGCTGAGATCTCTGGTGTGCAGGGTAGCCAGACAAAATAGAGAACATACTTATACCCAAGAAGCATCATTTGTTCACCTGAAATTCAGAGTTAATTGGATATTATACTGTAACCGTTAAAACTTGGTAGTCTTCTGGATCGCACCCGCATCTGTCCCTCACCCCCTACAGGGATATCAGCTGTTTGTGTTAGTTCTTCTTTACCAGTGCTTCACCCATCTGTCGATTGGTACAGTTTTGGATTTGTTAATTTAAAACATTTTAATTTTTACTAAATGCTATTACTAGTAGTACCATACTGCCCTTCGTTAGTGTGACAACATGGGAAATTGCTCTTGATACTTCTTTTATACCTAGCTAGGAAGTAAGTGGGGAATCATTGGTTAGGAAAATGGCTATACTGTATTTCTTCAGGGTGAAGAAAGGAGATAGTTTGCTTTTACCCAAGTTCCCGGATCTTACTGATGAACTAAATATGTTAAAGCAAAATGCGACAGCATAGCGTTCCAGCTGCGTGTTACAGCCGAGTGTTACGGCTAACCAAAGGTCTCTGGAGGTGAAGAAGTGGCCAGCCCAGAGGAGTTTGTACTAAGTCTAAGGAGAGCATGCCCATTGAGACAGACAGGCGGCGTTAACAGAACATTCTTGAAACCTTAGGTAGATACATCATGCAGCACAGTTACATTGCTTAAACAGAACATCTTATGGCTAAAACGTGGATGGGGGCTTGGCCACAGACCAAGGCCTGCCCTGTTGTGCACTATTTCCTCATCAGATACACTGATTGATACCTCTCTAAATACTAATTAATGTTGTGAAACTTTAATTGCAGCTTAGAATTTTTTTAGAAGCCAAATGACAAGTGGTCTGTTTGTCAGATGAAGATAATAACACCTGACCTATCTTCTTCACAAGAGAATTTCAAGGAAGAAAAGCTATAAAAACATACATCCCCCTTACCTGGAGTTTTACCCAAGGCCTTTCCAGTGAACTACATCCTCAGCCTCCCCGCTTTTAACTGTTTTTTGTTTGTTTGTTTGTATTTTGCGGTACCGGGGGTTAGACTCAGGACCTTGTACTGGCCAGGCAGGCGCAGCTCTCCATCCCTGGCCCTTACTGTTTATTTTTTATTTTGTGTCTCACTAAGTTGCCCAGGGTAGGCTCAAACTTGGTG